TGAAGAGTGCAGGAGCTAAACAGGAGACAACCTCGATTTTCTCCAAAGGAGGCCAGACATCGGTACAGTTTGATTTTGGAATTTTGCTTTTTTTTGTTTTCTAGAGCTTTCAAAAGAATATAGTTCTGTACAGGTGTTCGGCTCCAATGCGCAGCCGTCATCATTTGCGTCAGCAGCCCAAAAAGCTGCCCAGTCATCTCCGCCAATGACGTCTTCTGTACGTTTTTTGTTCTTTTATATCATTGATCAAGACGATGTAGTAATGTAGAGTTGGACTTTCAAGGTGTTTGGAGCCGCTCCGAAATTTGGTGGTCCACCAGTGTTCGGAGGAAAACCAGTGTTCGGATCCCCCACACAAGCTTCAACGGCTTTCGGGGGTGGAGCTGCGACTGGTGGAGGATTTTCAGCGTAAGAACTTTACTGTTTGGAATCGACTGAGAGATGTACACAGTGCTTACCAGGACGCATCGTTATTGGGATTCCCTAACAGAGAGGGAGGGAGTCGTATTTCCTCGCGGCTTTTCCCGTTTTACATGTGCAATTTACCTTCCACTCCCCCCCCCCCTCCCCCACCCGCTCGATGGGAGGGAACACCATGGAGGGTTTGGGGGGGTCGTACCAGCCTCTGAGAAAAAGACGGGGGGTCGTAGAACTCGACCAATACCCGGTATCTGGTGCTTACCAGGTAGAGGCGTCCCACCGTACATACTTACAGGCGCCACTATTTCCTTCAGTGGCTGCCCGTTCCATAGTGACAGCAGCTGGTGCAACGAGCTGGCGTTGCTCCAAGCGAAGGTGTACGTATGCAGGAACCCTCACGCAACGCTCCGTCAAGCACCATAGAAATTTGTACTTTCGCTTTCTACTACGACGGTCAGAGTTCCGCGTAGCTTTTCTCCAGAAAAATTGCGTTGTAAATCAAAACAAGCTTGTTTTTTATAGAGTCAACTGTAGAAGTTTATTCACAACTTTGCTTGCGTCATCGCGAGTTCTAAAATGAGAATGGAGAAGTCTGGAAAAAAAATTGGAGTCCCCACTTACAGGAGATTCAGGGCACTTGGTACGCTGGGGAATCTCGTGCAGGGGTCGTTTTGAACTGGGATTTTTTTTGAAGTTGATTGTTCCTGTTCCATGGGCGCTATCCACACTAGCTCAAATTTGGAGGGGGTTCGTATTCGCTGGCTTTTTCCTGCTCCTGCCCCCCCCCCCGACACCTTTTCGACGGCAGTACGTGTCCTGAAGAAATAGCAACATCTGGACCCCATTTAGCTGGATGCCAGGAGAAATAAGGATTCATGTGAGATATCCGTTAGTGTAAGAAAAAAAGGGCTGTTTTAACTATTGAGATGGCGGACAAAAAACGTAATTCTCGGATCGCGACTTGCAAGGCAGTGGCAGTGAATCGATGAGGATGCTGCTACTCATGCAAAAATCGTTTATCATTAAACACAAACCTCATGAACGTCCCGCATTCTCAACATATGTTGCGCAAAATGGACCCGCAGCGGCAGTACGTGCCAACTTCTTCGATAAAAAATGGGTGTAGAGGTAGCTCGAGTCGTCCACATTTCCCCAAATAAACCAAAAACAGCGAGACGAGTTAGGCCAGTGCGGCCTAAAGTTCGATAAGTGAAGGGCCTCTTAGCACCACTTGAAGGCGAAATTCTAAATTCACAGTTCGTGTACTCTTCTTTGGCTATTTTGGTGAGCGGATCCCGTGGTCGCAGCAGCATAGTAGGTGGGGCACTTTCTAGCTCAACAGTGCGGAACGGTTGGAGGGTACCCAGGATCGGTTTCTACATACTCGTCCTGCTCTGCCGCACAGGCGGCCCACCACGCCTAACCAAGCCAGGGGTGCGCGCAACTTGTTCCCGTGCATTTTTGAGCGGAGAAAGTGGCACGCTTTTGCAGCTGCGTGCCTACTCGCCTTGTACATGGCAAAAACCGTCCTCCGCATGAAGTCGCGTCTGTAGGATCGCATTCGAAGTTCACTGCGATACTAAATAGAGCTGAAAAGGAAAAATTGAATGGAAGCCGGTAGCGTTTCCGAAAAGAACTTATTAACGTCGAAAGCTCTGATATGATCCCAGGTCTTCATTATATAAATGAATACTATGTTGTAATGGTAGGTATTTGGTGTCTAAAGTGACACTCTTTAGGTTCTCTGGTAATAAAAATCTGTTCGGAGGAGTATCTCCTAGCGGTGGTAGCTCTCTGTTCGGAGGTGGAATGTCTAGTCAGACGCAACAGAAGACGAGCTCATTGTTTGGAGGAGGGCAGCAGGCTAGGTGAGATGTTATCATCAAGCAAAATGGGCGAAGTTCGGCCCCGGGGAGGGAGGCATTTTGAACTTTGGCCGCTTTTGATTGTCGTGTCGAGCCATCGAGTATAGATTTCTGAAATTTGGTGAAGCCGTGAAGTGGTACCAGTCAAAGTTTGCAGAGAATACTTGTCAACTCTTGTGAGAAGTACCTACCATCTCATGTAAAGCAGTGAACACGTCTATAGGAAGCAGCAAAAGTAATGCAAGTCCCCCCCCCCTCCGGTCGTCGCCGAACTGCTCCCGAATTGGTACTGTTCACTCTTTATAACCTCACTCTTCGAAGCTTGGGAGGATTCTCATTGGTCTATCCGCGGAAACAGTTTGGTTGCGAAGTCGAGAAGTTTGCCTTTAGAAGTACTATAACACCCTGAGAACGAATCTTGCACCCATTGGAGCGTGCACCATGCGTTTTCACCTTCAAGCCTGTTCCGCGATAAACTGAGGCTATAACCTCTCAAATGTGCCAGATGATCCGGTAGGACACAGTAGTGAATGTACTCCATATCCAGAGAAATGAAAATTGGCAAGAAGTTCAAGAATTTGGGTGGAACCTGTATAGCTAAGCCCATGAGCCCCGCTTGAGCGTATGCCAATCCACTACAATTCACTATATCTACATACAAGCTGGGATCGGCAGGGATTATAGGGCATTTGGCATTTCGAGCGGTTTTTCTGTTTTTTCTTCCCTACAGTTTCCTAGGACCTGTCGCTCGCATCCGAGTTCCATTAGACAGCGTTCAGACTTCGCGTTGACGCGCCTTGGCGCGCTACAGTTGGAACAGCGCTGCAATGCTACAGACGCGAACGCAGCCGCAGACAGGAATCAATCAGCGCCGGCTGCTTGTGCATTGAGGGAGTATAGGGGAAAAGAAGGGTGCGCGTCGTCTGATCACGTAGTCTAGTATCGGCCGTCGCGACTAGCGCTCGTTTGAAGAGCTAGTAAAAGCGCGCGGGGCCCTCCTGTTATCCTATACTCTACAGCGTCTGTCCTCCTTTTATCCTAAACTCTCCCAGTGCAAAAGCGGGCGGCACCGATATTCCAGTCTGCGGCTGCATAAGATTGGAGCGCTGCCGCAATTGTAGTGCGTTACAGCGCGTTATCGCGAAGTCTGAACGCTGCTTTAGGCCGCGTTCATAGCTTTCGAAGGCCGTGAAGAAAGGCAGAAATGCAGAGATACGGAATCAGCAGAAATGGCGAAAAGGATTAGACACGTATCATTCCCCCCAAATCGTCATTTCTGCAGATTCCGCATTTCTGCATTTCTTCAAATCGATATGTATTTAATGCTTTTCGTCATTTCTGCAGATTCCGCATTTTCATTTCTGCATTTCTTCACGGTCGCAAGCTATGAACGCGGCCTTACCCATCTCTGATCGCGGGTTTCGGCTTTGCGGTTATGGAGAATTTATCAGCGTTTCGAAGGGTGTGCTAGAAAAGGGTAAACAGTGTCGTGAAATTTCTCAGAAATTCAACGGATCTTGCTATTTCACTGCTTTTTCCAGCTCGTTCAGTACGTGGCGCTGATTCGCGTTGAAGCTCAACAGCTCAACATTTCACCTTGATGTCACGTTGTTGTGAAATTTATCTTGTTACTCTTAAAAGTCATGTTTTATTTGGAATGCTCTGTAAAGAATTTTGTATGGAGATATGTGTGAAGTATAGTTGGAGCGGAATATGACGAATCTGGACGGATCTAAAACTGGTTTCTAGTGCGTGGTGGTGAGATGTTGATTGTTGTCCATAACGACCCCCTCATCGCAGAGCGAAGGCCGTTCGCTGAAAACATTGAGGTGGGTGGTTCCTAGCGTTAGAAGTGGGCGTGAAGAACATGTAATGGTCACAATCCCTTCTATTTTCAGTGTGATGATTTGGGTGACTTACCTCTCTTGGTAACATTATTGATTCATGATTTGTGTGTTGTGATTTGTGTATACCAATTTTTGCCCACCCCCCTCCCCTCTTTCCACCTCCTCGCTTGCACGCTTCTAAGACGAGTCCGACGCTGTTCGGCTTAGGGGGAAGGCACTTTTGCTGGTTTTTTTTTGCTTGTCCTGTTAAATTACACGTTTCACCTCGCTAGGGCCTGTAGGCATTTGTCAAGTGGGAACAAAGGTCTTGCCATGGTTTACAGGAATTTACTGGTTCCCAGAGGAGACATCGGTAGTGGTCGGTGAGAGCCAGCAAAATGCCCCCTCTAAGCCGCATGGCGAGGTTCCATCATCGGATTTTTGCTTAAAATCTTAATGACTTACTACCTTTGTCAGTTTATATGTTTGAGTAGTGGAAGAACTTTATATAACCGAGTAATGAGAGTTGGTTTTAATACATCCTCTTGTTTTCTGATATTTTGCTCGTAACAAAGTCTCCTGTGGGTTGAGATGTCACTCAAAAGTCGCTGGCGATTTCACAAGAGTGAGGCCACACACAACTCTTTCGTGCGAAGCTAACTGTTTGGTTTGCGGGATATCTCAATATTCAAGCCTTGACTTGTATAGTTACCCAACATTAAATACCTGCTCGAGAAATATCACAGGGGCTAGTCCTTTTCAAGTGCTACTTTAAGAAAAAATGCAAAAAGGTAGCCGAACAGAGTAAAAAGAATGAAGAAAAATGGCTCAATTAAGCGAGAAACAGCTGATTTCCGCGAGAGCTGTCAATGAGAAAATGACGGGATCAAGTGCGGCTCGTGTTGAGCGCGCAGGAAGTAGAGATACTAAGTAGCTATCCCGAGCTGCCAACAGTTCCCAGACGACGCGATCGCTGCTGCGCTCGAGTCTGCGCCCTTCATCCGCCCTGTCGTCGGTCCGGATGATGACTGCACATATATACTGGCAATGGCAGCGGTCGAGTAGTGGTAAATGATGCCACTTATCACGTAAAAGGATTAGATTTGCAACCAGCTCCTCGAGCCTTTCGTCCTTTCAGAGTGAGTATACTCGAAATCCCTGAGATTCTGTAGGCGTGGCTGCGTACTTAACTTCAAAATGGCGGGGCCAGGTTTTCGTGAGATATTGTCATTTTGGAGCAGTCGTAATCATGTCTACATATAACACAGAACAAGATAGCAGTTGTTTCAAATTGAAGTATCCCACGAGAAACCCGTCCTATGCCATGCCAAAAAAAGCCACGCCTACTCCGTCTCAGGGATAAGCGGGGAGGTAAACTGCTAATGGATAATAGATGAACTATACAGGAATAATTTTCGGCGCTGTTCGGCTTGGAGGGAGCATACCTTGGTACCATATCCATCAAGGAGGATGGAAACCTTGACTTGCCCTTTTGACTGACCCCTACAAGACCTTATATTGGCGAGATCGAGTCCAAAATAGTACTATGATTCTGAATAGAACTAGAATGGCACATTCCAGATATGGTTGATCAGACTGGGTGCAGCGTCGTTGTGCGAAACACACGAGCGCGGGGGTAGTATTTGGTCTATGTTGGGAGGGGGGTCTTATGTCCTTATGTGCCTCCCCCCTAGTTGGTAGCGCCGCTGAATTTGCGTACAACTACTATTTCGCAAACTATGAACGCGGCCTTACCCATCTCTTATCGCGGGCTTTACCTTTGACTGTTTAACTACTAACTACTATTTATAGTTGAAAATAGTAGTTGGTTCCTCACGACCTCCTTCTCCCCCTTATCGACAAGACCCCTCTCGGTACGACCCCTTTCCCAAATTTTTGGGGAGAAAGTAGGAAGTTTTCGGGAAATTGGTAGGAAGCTGAGAAGATGTAGGAAAATGGTGGGTAGGTGTTGGGAAAGGAGGTCGTACAGAGAGGGAGATCTTACCGAGAAGGGCGCGGGTCATACCGAGACCCTCTTCCAAGTGAGGGCGGGGGTCGTACTGACAGTACCATTTCACACATCGCAATGCTGTACCCTTTGATCAGAGCGAACAG